AGGTGACCTATCAACTGGACAAGGGAGAGGAGATTGACGTCATTTATCTTGACTTCAAAAAAGCCTTCCATCTGGTATCCCATGATCACCTCTTGGCAAAACTTGCCAACTGCAGCCTTGGGTCCACCACGGTCCTCTGGCTAGGGAATTGGCTCTGTGGTTGGACCTAGAGGGTGGTGGTTAACAGAAGTCCATCATCATGGTGCCCTGTGACCAGTGGGGTTCCCCAAGGCTCTGTCCTTGGACCTATATTATTCAACATCTTCATTAATGATGTGGACACTGGAGTCAGAAGCAGACTGGCCATGTTCACCGATGATACCAAACTCTGAGGTAAAGCATCCACACCTGAGGACAGGAGTGTGTATGATCAGAGGTCAGGAAAACAGACTTTATGGTGACAGGCTGAGAGCTATGGGACTCTTTAGCCTGGAAAAGCGCAGGCTCAGGGGCAATCTGATGGCCACCTATAAGTTTATCAGGGGTGTTCACCAGGATCTGGGGGAACGATTGTTCACCAGAGCGCCCCAAGGGATGACAAGGGTGAATGGTTATAAACTACTGCAAGACTGTTTCAGGCTGGACATAAGGAAGAATTTCTTCACTCTCCAAGCTGCCAAGGTCTGGAATAGCCTGCCACTGGAGGTGGTTCATGCACCTACATTGAACGCCTTCAAGAGAAATTTGGATGCTTATCTAGCTGGGATCCTATTACTCCAGCTGACTTTCTGCCCTTTGGGCAGGGAGCTGGACTTGATGATCTTCCGAGGTCCCTTCCAGCCCTAATATTTATGAAATCTGTGAAATATATGAAAGGGCCCCAGGTTCATGCATAGGGAGAAGTAGATGGATGGATCCAGGCTAAAAATTAAAATTTAAACAAAAGATATCATTGAAAGGAAAGGAGAGGAGAGGAGAGGCCTGACTCAGTTGCCATTATGAGATGACAAAACTGTGGACAAGAAAGAAATGTAGATAGTCTTTTTTCAGTTTTAATTTTTATCAAATGTGTTTGTATTAAAAATACACATGTATACATTTTAAAAGTATGTGTCTAATTTGTGTAGGATTCTGGGAATCAACTTCCAAACCCAAGAACCCAAGGAGAGAAAGTACATGTCATAGAAAGGTGTCATACCCCCAGCCCAGTCTACCTTGGGGAAACAACACAAGATTCCTGGCAAGTGAAGTATAGTTGTAACACATGACAGGGATGAAAAAAGCTGACAGTGCTCCATTAACTAGTCTATGAATCTGTTGGATGTTTGTGTTTAATCTATATCTTAAATTCAACAAGATAATATTTGACTAAATTCAAACAAATGAGTAGTGACTTCTCTTGCTTCTGACACTTCCCCTCACAGTGACATAGTGACTTCATTTAGTGAGGATACAACCCACTAGTTGAAGTGCTTTCTAGTCAATGTTTAATGATTGCTTTGTTCCTGATGTTACTTTCTTTCTCACAGAGAGATAGAGAATCTGACACAAGTGAATGAGTTCATCCTCTTGGGTCTGACCAATGCCTGGTGGCTGCAGAAATTCCTCTTTGTACTGTTCATTAGACTGTATGTAGCCAGCCTGCTGGGGAATGGTGCCATCATGGCTGTGGTGATAGCTGAGACCAAGCTTCACACCCCTAGATACATCCTCTTGGGTAATCTCTCCTGCCTAGACATCTTTTATTCCACATTCACTGTGCCCAAGATGCTGGCTGACTTCCATTCAGGACACCAGGCCAACTGATTCATGGGCTGTCTGGCCCAGCTCCAGTATTTCACTTCCTGGGCAGCAGCAAAGTTTTGCTGCTAGGTGTTATGGCCTATAATTGGTATGTGGCCATCAGTAACCCACTGTGGTATGCTGTGGTCATGAGCCAACAGGTCTGCTTACTCCTGGCACTAACCACCCGGAGCACTGGCTTCCTGCATGCCCTGATGCACTCAGTCATGACCTCTCAACTGCCCTTTTGTGGTCCTAACCATGTCCACCACTTCTTCTGTGATATCAAACCCCTGGTGAGTTTGGCTCGCAGCAGCACCCACCTCAACCTCGTTTTACTCAATATTGTTACAAGGAGTGTTGCACTGGGTCCTTGCGTCGTGGGATCACTGCATAAGGGCGTGGTCCTCTGCATCCTGATGACATCCATCTGTCTGTCCTCAGTAGTGAAAGCCCAGGTGTGATTAAAGGTGCCTTAAGTGGGGGTTCCCTGAGTGATGTACTATCTGTCGGGTGCAGGACCCTGCCCCTCAATTCACCTGCCATAACTTGGTGTTATTAGATAAAGGGAGGGTTCAGTGGAGATCTTCTTCCTGGGGGGCCCCCCGTGGACAGTAGTACTCACATTTAGGGTACGATGTTCCACGGGGCTCTGCCTCCCCTATACCCCATCCACTCGCCAACCGGATGGTGTGGATGTGGTCATGGTGTGATTTGGTCATGCTCGATCGACCGCTGCTTGCTTCAGCGCCTCTGAGTAGGGCGCTTTTGTCTTTGCACCTATTCTTCTTTTTTTTTTTTGTCAAAAGAAATAGAACTCTGGGGAGAAGAGGGGTGTGGAGTTGCCTCCTTCCTCCCAGCCTCCTACAGGGGGCTCAAACGCCTCGCCTGCTCTGCCTGCTGGTGTTGAGCCAGCTGCGCTGCTCCTGTCTGCTGCAGGGGCCTCAGCACGTCTGGCATGCTCCACGCCAGCGTGCTCCCTCACCGCCTCTGACCCCTGGGTTCTAGTGGGTCTTTTAAATCTTCACGCAGCAGCTGGAATGGCCACTGTGATTGGCTCAGCTTTTCCCCACCTGGGGAACAGATGATTAAACCACTGGTGTAATGCCAGCTTGCGCAGCTGCGGTTCCTGCACCGGCTGCACCCCAGAGGCAAGTTTCCCCCATGGGGGGGGGGCTGTTTGTGGGGTTTTGGGCCCACAGGGACTGCCCTCTCCCCTTCAGGAGCCTGCGGGGGTGTCTCACTGCCACACCAGCTCAATTAGTCAGACTAGTGTTTCCTCCTAATTCTCATCTGCCACGACTTCCGGGAGGGCTGGTGCTCACCTGGGTCTGAGTTTGACTGTAGGCGTCCCTTGTGGGACTCAGCTTCCAAAAACAAGAGGGACTGTAAAAAAAAAAAAAAAAAAAAAAAGAAAAGAAAACTGTCTGGCATGCTCGGCTTCCCCTTTGCTCTCAGCACACTGGGGATTGTGATCTTTGCCACTGCTGCTTTTGCTGCATCCGGCTAATTGATGTGCCACCATGATAATTAATGAATCACTGCAGCAATTAACACACACTGCAATTCCTGATCTCCTTCAAGTTCTCAGACCAACTAGTCTGCCACCCCATTCCTCAGGATAAAGGCCTTTTGGGTTGGGTGGTCAGTGGGTCCACCTGGCCCATATTCACTCTC